TGCCCGGCTAATTTTTTCTATATATATTAGTTGGCCAATTAATTTCTTTCTATTTTTATAGTAGAGATGGGGTCTCGCTCTTGGTCAGGCTGGTTTTGAACTCCTAACCTTGTGCAATCCACCCGCCTCGGCCTCCCAGAGTGCTAGGATTACAGGCGTGAGCCACCGCACCCGGCCTAAATTTCTCATTTCTATCCTGAATTGTTTTCTCTGATTTCTTTTTATTGCTTACCTGAGTTCTTTTGTATTTCATGGGCTTCTTTAATATGATTATTTCGAATTCTTTTGGGGGGAACTTTATAAATTTCTTTTTCATTGGAGTCTATTGCTAGAGAATTATTGTGATCCTTTGGAAGTGTCATATTTCTTTGCTTTTTCATCTTTCTTTTGTCCTCACATTGATATCTGCATATCTGGTGTAACATTCTCTTCTAATTTTTTGTATTTGTTTTCACAGAGGAGGATTTTTCCTGTTGGTTGGATAGGACACTTTGGCTTTGATTCTAGGTGCATGCAATAGCGTAGTCTCTGTATGATTTCTTCAGCTGTAAATAGTGTCAGTAGTGTCTGTGATTTCCTCAGTGACTTAGGATGTGGTTGCTAGTGGAGGTTGTGGTAAAGTTTTGCTTCACATAGAGATGTCAGGTGGGCTAGTCCTTTGTCCTCAGAGGTGGCAGCAGCTGACTGAGCATGGATCCCAGGGAGGTATACAGTGGTACTGGTTTCACTTGGTCCAGGGGGGCTAATTCTTGGGTCTCCAGGCAGCTTGCTTGAGTGCCACCAGTGCCAGCCATGAGCCAGGTAGGTGGGCAGATTCTCAGGCCCTTGAGTGGCGGGTGTTGCATGGGTGATGGCAGTAGCACTTTTATGGTTAACCCTCTGGCTCCCAAGCAGTCTTCATTGGTGATGGCAGCAACTGTGATGATCTGGAGGGGTCAGTCCTCAGGCCTGCAGGTGGTATGTGTGTGGGGGGGTGCCAGTTGTGGTGGTAGTGGCAGGTTGGGTGGGTCAATCCTCAGGCCCCCAGGAGGAGTGCTCAGGTGGCAACAGTGGTGGATGGGTCAGGGCGATCCCAGACCCATCAGACAGTGGGCTCAGACACTGAGGAGGGTGCCTGAGCCTGGCTGGGCAGGCCTCTCCACAGGCCTCCAGTGGTGTGTGTGGATCCTGGCTCTGGTAGGCAGCAATGGGGTAATTCTCAGGCCCCCAGGGGAATGTTCAAGTGGTGGTGGCTGTGCTGCAGCCCTGCTGCTGGAAAGGGCAGGGTTGCTCTTAGTGGCAGCAGCTGTAAACAGAAGGCTGTTGCTAAGATGTGACTCTCACACTTTATTTTATTTATTTATTCTTTTTTGAGACAGGGTCTCACTCTGTTGCCCTGGCTGGTGTGCTGTGGTGTCAGCCTAGCTCACAGCAACCTCAAACTCCTGGGCTCAAACAATTCTCCTGCCTCAGCCTCCCAAGTAGCTGGGACTACAGGCATGCGCCACCATGCCCGGCTAATTTTTTTCTATATATTTTAGTTGGCCAATTAATTTCTTTCTATTTTTAGTAGAGACAGGATCTCACTCTTGCTCAGGCTGCTTTCGAACTCCTGACCTTGAGCGATCCACCTGCCTTGGCCTCCCAGAGTGCTAGGATGACAGGCATGAGCCACCATGCCCAGCCAACTCTCACACTTTAAAGAAAAGTTTTTCCTTGTCGTTGCCACTGCAAGTTGTTTCTCTAAATTTATTTTTCTTCAACAAATAAGTTTGATGTTTATAAGATTTTCCAGAATTTAAGAGAAACACTTAGGTGAGGTTGATGTTAACATCAATTTATATAGACCTAGATTCGTTGTTGACTGGTTAAGTGAATCACATCTGTTCTGGTCCAGTCTAGAATCTTCTACTTCTAAGTTTTGCATATCCTCCTCATGTGCTGTGTGCTGTCCTCATCACCTGCCATCTGACCTGTGATTTGACAGTGTCCTTATGTCAGACTCTGCTCAAATGACAATTTAAACTTTCTTTTTTGTTAAGTTAAAAAGTCTTTCCTTAGTCAAGATGAAATTCTTAAGGATAATTTGTGTGGTCTCATGAAAATTGTTTGCATGTAATATTTACATTTTGGGAGTTATATTAGCTCTTCTCCTTTATAAATTAATGAATCCTATTGGTATTCTATAATAGAATCAACATTTGTCTTCTGAGTCTCACTTCTCAAAAGGCAATTCTCCAAAATGTATATTTTGAATGGCTAAGGCTTAAAAAAAATTCACAGATGGCAATTCTATTTTTGGTTGAGACTATTAATAAGATTTACTATTTAAAGTTTAAGTTACTGATAGAAGAAATTTAGGAGATATAGTACCATGTTTCCTGGAAAATGAGACAGGGTCTTATATTTATTTTTCCTCAAGAAGACACCCCAGGGCTTATTTTCAGGGGATGTGTTATTGTAACAATAATGTAACAATCTACATTTATGCAAATATAGTTAAGTCATCTTCTGGAGCATGATCATAACTCTCCAAACCCCAAATTCCATCCTGAATTTCTTGTGACTCTATTTCCTTTAGAACCATTGGCCCCAATCTCTCATGTGGAGCAATAGAGCTCTCATGGGGCAGATGAGAAGGGCTGCTTGTCTTCTTTACCGCTCCAGACGAAATGCATGGGTTGTGCAGATGCGCTGCGTAGCCACGCCCATCCCTAGGTCTTATTTTTGGGGTAGGGCTTATATTGCACAAATGCTTAGAAATCCTGGTAGGGCTTATTTTATGGGTAGGTCTTATATTCGGGGAAACACGGTAGCTATCAAAACCTATATCCTGATGAATTGGAATACCTTTTTAAAAACAGCAGTGAAAAATGAGAAAAGACATTTTTTGCAATATGTAAGTAATAAATTTGCTCTTTGCAATTGACTTGAAGATTGGTGCCAGAATCTTATTGGTTCCAGGATTTCACACGGGACTTCTTGAGTCATGCTCTTGCCATGGTTCATTCACAAAGTATTGCTCAAGAAATTGATTCAGACTTCATTTATATTTTCATATGTGATTATTGCTTAGTTCTGGCCTAGGAAATATCCTAAGTTATTGAAAATCTTCTTCCCCTTGACTTTCTCTATTCCTTCTACCTAGTTACTGAGTTTTGAACCTATCCTGTTGGATATTACCCTCCCCTTGCATACTCTGCTCCCAACTTAGGACCTTGGCTCTAATTGTTACCACTGTCTAAGAAATTGTTCCCCATGGCATTTGCTTGCCTAATTTCTTCCTTCTATTTAATCACTCCTTTAAGTAATACTTTATTTGCTCAATTATCAACTTCTCAGCCAGGCCTAATTTGTATTATTTTGTTGAGACAGAATCTTACTCTGTTGCATGGGCTAGAGTGCAGTGGCATCATCATAGCTCATTGCAACCTCAAACTCCTGGGCTCAAGTTATCCTCCTGCCTCAGCCTCCTGAGTAGCTGGGACTACAGGCATGTGCCACCATGACCAGCTAATTTTTTCTATATTTTTAGTTGTCCAGCTAATTTCTTTCTATTGTTAGTAGAGACGGGCTCTCACTCTTGCTCAGGCTGATCTGGAACTCCTGAGCTCAAACGATCCTCCCGCCTCAGCTTCCCAGAGTGCCAGGATTACAGATGTGAGCCATCATGCCTAGTCCAGGCCTAATTTTTAATACTGTTGCTACAAACTGCCTTTCCCTCCAAGCTAAATATTATTTTATAACCATTTAATAGATAAGCTAATTGAGCTTTACAACCATTAAGTGAGTCAACTAGTTCAATCTAAGTTGTTTCTAATTTTTTGCCATTATAATGCTTCCATAAACATCCTTGTATGCATACATTTTGGCACTCTGTTTATTTTTCCCCCAGGATAACTTTCTAGATATGGACTTGCTGGAACCAAGGGTATGCATGTTTTCCCAGAGTATGCATGTTTTCTGGCTTTGTGTTTTAATAGTGGCAGCAGCAATAACAGAGGGGGGGGGAATGAAACAATGAGTCTAGGAAGGGAGAAATAGTGTGTGAGTATGAAAAATTTGTATTTATGTCATTGGATTTGACATCAGGGTTGGATCAAGCATATTCCATCAAAATCTGTAAGCTCTTTCCCCTTGAAAAAGGGTACCTTGCTTGGTGTCTTGGAAGAGGAGTGCTCTTTAGCTTGGGAGACTTGCTCATAACTGCAAGCCACAGTGGCTGTTACTTGGACATAACCTTAGCTCCTTCTTGGACCACTGTAGGAGAAGAGGCAAAATATGACTACTGCTGCTGAGGGCATGTGTCATCAGAATGGCTACTTGTCCTAACTTCGACACTTCAACATGATTGAAGCTTTAAGCCAAGTACTGCTGTATTCTAATTGTCTCCGCAGATTTCCTTGAAATGTTTATACCTCTTTGCTGCTGCCAGCCTGCTGCTCTCTCACGTGCACCCAGAAGGGGCTTTTAAAATGATGCCGCCAGGCGGCCCGGTGGCTCACCCTGTAATCCTAGCACTCTGGGAGGCGGAGGTGGGCAGATCGCTCGAGGTCAGGAGTTCGAAACCAGCTGCGCAAGACGAGACCCCCGTCTCTACTAAAAAAATAGAAACCAACATTAATTGCCCACTCACAAACTATATAGAAAAAATTAGCCACGGCTGGTGGCGCATGCCCTGTAGTCACAGCCACTCGGCGAGGTGGCAGAAGGACCTAGCTCGACCAGGACGTCATTTGAGGTGTTGCTGTGAGCTAGCTGCACCCACGGCCCCTCTAGGCCCCCAGGACAGCACAGAGTGATTACTCTCTCTTTTAAATAAATAATACCGCCCCAGAATTGGAATCCACGAGTAACCACCCTTTGCTTACGTGTGCCCCTTAACTCCAACAAGCAACCATGTTAAAAACCGTGTTCCTTCTTAGCAACGCTTTACAGGAACGTCTGTGTTCATGGATCTTACTCGGCTCGCTCTAAATTTGTTCTCATCCTTTCATGTTAAATTGAATTACCTTGCCGCCATGAACCAGATACAGGAACGTTTTTTCTTTCTAAGCGTTTGGGGGCTCTACTACTGTGATTCAAGACAAAGGCCAGAAGCCACAGCAGCCGACGAATGGGCGAGACAATTATTTTCTTGATACCGGTCCATATCTTTGAGCCATAATACTAATATGAAGGATCAGTGGAGCAGTGTGAAACCTGGCCAATAGATGCTGTCACAAGAGCCAGTGAACAATGACAAGCATGGGTGCCAGGTAAAGGGAAACTTGACATTAAACATTCACTCAGCAACTCTCAGTAAAACTGTTGCAAGAAATAGATCTGCAATTCACAGGAACTCCATGAGAGAGACAATCTGGCCTCCTTAGGGGGAAGAGAAGAGCGGAGGTTCGTGTGAGAAAGATGATGATACTTGATTTTAACATAACACTGCATTTGAGACACCTTGTGGAAACCAAGGGGGACAAGGGGGGACCCCCAATTCGGTTTGACAGCACGCAGGCTGCTAGAGGGTAGACATGTTTTTGAGGGAAGTATTTGTCACCTAAGTTTAGTTTGAGTCCCTGGGTGCTTGATTAAATTATTCAGTGGGAAACTTCATAGACCAAAAGCAAAACTTTTGAGCCAAATGTTGGGGGAAACTGTCCTATATTTCGAGATATCTACGTTAAAGAAGCCACGCCGACTTGCAATGTAAACAGCAGAGCCGCTATGTGCGGAACCCAAGGACTGCCCAAGTTCTTCAATCTGCAGAACCTGATGAACTCGTTACCCTCTTACACCGCAAAAAGGGACTTTTGTAGATGTGATTAAGTTTAGGAGTCCCTTTGAGATGCAGAGCACAATCCTGAATTATCCTGGGTGGGCCAATGTACAAGCAATAAGGGTTCCTCTTTGTCTAGGTCTGGAGCTCAAGGTATTTAGGCCAAAATGCTGTTTCTTTTGAACTTTGTGCAGTTGGGGTGGGAGGCCGAAAAAAGCATCCATCCCGTGGAAAGGGAGAAAAAAGCCCGGTGTGTAAGGTTTTTCCAGAGGAGTAAGAACTGGCGACGAGTTGCTTGGTAATAAATCTTTTTCAAACAATCAGCTCCTCCGCTCGGGCGCTCCATCCCATCCTGGTAGCTCCCATGTGGGTTCTTATCAGGAGAGCAGGGGAGGGATAAAGCTTCTTATCAAGGGAAAAAGAATACAAGTCTCCTTTTGCATTTCCATTCCTCTTATCTCCCAGGGGTCTGGCAAGGCTACTTGCCTATAAAATGCTTAAGAGGTGGAAGTAAAATTAGAATCAGAGAGGAGATGTGACAATGGAAGTAGAGGTTAGAGTGATTGCTTTGAAGATGAAAAGAGGGGCCACAAGGAACCAGGTGGCCTTGGGAAGGAGAAAAAGGCAAGAAAACAGATTCTCCCCCTAGAGACTACAACGGAATGCAGCTCTGCTTACATGTTAATTTTAGCCTGTAAGGTCCCTTTTGGACTATTGACCTCCAAATCTGTTAGATAATAAATCTGTGTTGTTTTAAAGACACTTAGATTTGTGGTAGTTTGTTACAACCACAACAGGAATAGTGATGTCAAGACAAGGGAGGAAAGAGTTTTAAGTATGAACAAGGGATGAAGTGAACAAAGCATTGAACCAGGGTCCATTGGGTTTGGCAATATTCTGGTCGTTGATAATATTGCTCAGCACAATTTCAGAGGAGAAGGGGAGGTTAAATTAGATTGCAGTAGGTTAAGGAATGAGTTTGTGGTAAGAAAAAAAGGTACAGGAGTCGTGGCTACGAGATTTTTCTGTGAAGAGGAAAGAGAATAAAGTAGTTGCAGAGTGATGTGGTCTTGAGAATTGGTGTTTTATTAAACATGGGTGAGACCTGAGCATATTTATTTGCCCAGAGGAAATATCTAGCAGACAGGGAGAAGCTGAAAGTTCAGAATGAATGGAAGATGGAAGGGAGTAGAGTCACTGAGAGTGGGGGGGAGGGAACAAGATCCAAAGCAACATTGAAGGGATCGTTCTTCACGCCTTCCACTCAAACAGGAGCTAAAGGAGGAATGCAAATACTAGAGATAAGTTACTAAAGAATCCAGGACGGTCTCACCCCTTGTTTTTCAGTGAGCTTACTGAAGTAGGAGTTAAAGGTCATCTTCTGAGGCTTAAGAGGCTAGTGTTTAAGTAAGAGAATGTGATGGAAGAAGTTCTGAAAAACCGTTCAAGGAATACATGAAAGAATTTGTGGGTATCTTCGAGATGTAGTCGAGACTTTTCGGTGACACAGATATGCATGACTGTGACTTTCTCAAGGAGCGATGCACAACCTGAGTGGCAATGCAGGAAGTTGAGCAGATGGAAATCTAGTTTATTTCTAGCATTCATGCAGTGGGTCCAGGCGGCACAGTACTGAAGGTAATTGTGAGAGTGACTGAATTAGTAGCTGGATCGATGGGCCATTGTATTGAAATGGGTAGGAAAGGAAGCAAAGCTAGAATGGAGGTGACAATGTGTAGGAGAAAATGGTGGCTTTCAGGGACTAGATGTCTTAGAGGGCAAAGAGAAAGAATATAGACACTGTGAAAAGCAGTGTGAGAGAAGTGGAAGTATAAAAGTTGCGGTCAGGTAACAGAATGCCAAAGTGAAATATCTCAGAGGAGGAACAATTTGGATTTTGATAAGGATCATGAAGCCATGATCTTGGGTGGCTGAAATTAGGTGGACATGAAGTTCTTCTAAGTCAATAAGGTCAAGTAACTACTAACAATACCAGGTGAATTGTGCAGGATAAAAAACCCAGACTTTGAAGTTGCTTAGGATAAGGTCAGAAAGTAACCGAGTGATTAGTAGAACATGGAAAGGTAATATAGGTAATATATTTGTATAATATACATTTCAAAGATGTTTTTACACACAAATAAGGAACAAGGCTTTACAAGTTTCAATGGAATTTAAAAATAGTAACTTTCCTTCATACTCATTCCAGGAATATAGTTTCTGGGGGTGAATAAATGAGAAGCCCTCACCTGAGATTTCTGTGTGTAGACAACAGTGTCTAGGAGGTGCATGCAAGGTTTAAGGAGCAGAATGTGTCATTTATAAGGGAACTTGACGTCCTGAGAGTACCCGGAAAATATTTCATAGAGAATCTTAGGAGAGTGAGAGAAGGGTGTGTGTTATACTGCTGGCATAAAAGTAAATGAGATGTTAGGAGGGGCTTGCATTTGAAGTTCTTATGAAGGAAGGGGGTTGGGAAACACAGTGGAACTGACTGGTCTCGAGATTCTACGTGGATTTCTGGTGTAAGGATGTTTCCATGTTGTAACAAAGAACTGACTGGAAGTCAAGACAAGCTAGTTTACATTCTCTGTTTGTAGTTTCAACACTTCTCTCTGACCTTAGCTCACTGTATCATATGGCACATATTAGGCAGTCAGTAAATATAATACAATAATATTATGTATTATTAATAATGTATGAATATATAAATCAATTACTTTCACAAAGAAAAAACTATTAAAAAGTTGTTTGGGGCTGAAAGAGTGACAAGATAAACACTAAATTACAATGGAAGCAACTGAGGCATAATGAGGGTCTTTCAAGGTTGGCCAAGGAACGATCAGGGGAGAAATATCACCCCACATGCCTGAGTCCCATGGGAGGAGATGGCAATTAAATTGTGCTTCCAAACTCTGCAAAATTCAGCCATGGGTGGAATTTTAGTGTCAATATGTAAGTAATGTGAACACATTCAGTTTTCTAGAGAGGCTTAAATATACCAATGCAGAGGCCTCTTAGCCTCTTCTGAGTTCCAGAAAAGATTTAAAGTAGTTTATGTAATAGGAGAAAAAAACCACAACACAAAAATGAAGACAATTTTTTTACTATAAAAATATAGAGAACAAAAGGGAAATTAAAACTTGGATATACAAGTGACTATATATTAATACTTACGATTGGAAAAAAATTGAGATTGCTAATGCACTAAAAGTTGCACAAGATAAAACATTTAGGAACCTAAGTCAATTTAAAGAAGGTAATAGAATTAGACTTTGAGCTGCTTGATTAAAGAGATAATGTATCTTGGGCAACATGTTTAGTTAAGATCTCTGGCAGCGACAAACATTTCGAGTCATTTTTTTTTTTTTTTGATAGGAGCAGTAAGATAAATCATACACATTGTCTACAAAATTAGCTTCTTTTCTAGCCAGAAATATTGTGAGTCCTGTTGCATAAAGGAAATTCAGTGACATTGAAGAAATTATATCCAACAACCCAGGTTGTTAGAGAACATTTCATGACTCTGTCATAAACACATAGACTATAGTTCAGCCGTATATCCATGAGCTCAAGGTCACAGGAGGGTTGTGTCTGTGTGTGTGTGTGTGTGTGTGTGTGTGTGTGTGAGTGTGATCAGGTCCTGTTTATTTTAGAAGCATGGGCCGGGCGAGGTGGCTCACGCCTGTAATCCTAGCACTCTGGGAGGCCAAGGCGGGTGGATTGCTCAAGGTCAGGAGTTCGAAACCAGCCTGAGCAAGAGCGAGACCCTGTCTCTACTATAAATAGAAAGAAATTAATTGCCAACTAAAAATATGTATAGAAAAATTAACAGGATGTGTGCATGCCTGTAATTCTAGCTACTCGGAGGCTGAGGCAGAGGATTGCTTGAGCGCAGGAGTTTGAGGTTGCTGTGAGCTAGGCTGACGCCACGGCACTCTAGCCATCTCAAAAAAAAAAAAAAAAAGAAGAGCATGAACAGTGGAACTAGGAGGGAGTGATGAAACAAGACAGAATTCTCCTGACAGCCCAGATCCAACACAGGCTCTCTCTGTGTGACCAGGGCCAACCTGGAGACCTGATCAGCCTTTTCCCATGAGGAGAGCATGTGAGGACAACCTGGCAGAAATTACAGAAAAACAGAGATTACACAATCTAGATATGTTGCTTTAAAATGACCCAATTTAGCAAAGAGCAAGACTTTGGAGATTCTAATGAATGGATGCATGTGCATTCCAGCCTCAGGCTCAAACAGCAGATACGATGTGTTGTCACTATCTTTTCCATGTAGCTTTGAATTCTACATACACTTTATATCTTCCAGCTCAGTTACAGTTTCTGTTCTTGCAATACTTAATATTAGTACATGGCTGTGTGTTCTTTTTATGACAGGTACATTTTGGAAGATGGCTGATTGAGGGGAGTCCTTACGTGGTGCTCTTTGACATAGGCTATTCGGCTTGAACCTGGACAGGTGGAAGGGTGACCTCTGGGAAGCATGCGGTGTCGGCATTCCTTACCATGACCGAGAAGCCAATGACATGCTGATATTTGGATCTTTAACTGCCTGGTTCTTAAAGAGGTACAAAATAAAATAAAAAAAAAGAGGTACAGTTTACTGCATGGTGACACAACAGAGGAGCAGCACAACTGGTCAGTGCACAGCAATGATCCCATGATTTTTGGATCAAGCAAATTTTTTGAGATGATGCCGTTATTGCTTGTCCTAATACATTTCAAAGGAATCTGAGGGCGTGTTCCACACTCCTCCCACACTAAAAACCAGCCTTTGGAACAGAGTAATAATGATGCGTATTACTGTTTAGCTCATGACAGATTTAAATGGAATGATGTATGTAAAACACTGAATTATATCACCTGCTATGTGGATGATACTCAATATATACGCAAGAAAAAAAAAGAGATTGCTTATAATACATCATGTACTGTGTAAGTGAATTCTAAAACGTTAAGAGTAGCAAACAGCTTGAAATATTCTGTTTATGCATAAGTACTTGTGCAGCTAGAGTGGCTTTGAGATATGTGTGTTATTTGCTAAGAGCTGAAGTGGTCTTGGCAGTTATTGAGGAGTTCTTTGTAGGGATATACCATAGATGTAAAAAGCAAGAGCAAGGCGGGCGCGGTGGCCCACGCCTGTAATCCAGCATCTGGGAGGCCGAGGCAGGCATATTGCTCAAGTCAGAGTTCGAAACCAGCCTGAGCAAGAGCGAGACCCATCTCTATCATAAATAGAAAGAAATTAATTGGCCAACTGATAAATATAGAAAAAATTAGCCGGGCATGGTGGTGGCATGCCTGTAGTCCCAGCTACTTGGGAGGCTGAGGCAGCAGGATTGCTTGAGCCCAGGAGTTTGAGGTTGCTGTGAGCTAGGCTGATGCCACAGCACTCACTCTAGCCTGGACAACAAAGCAAGACTCTGCCTCAAAAAAAAAAAAAAGGCAAGAACATTAGAAATGAGTCCTTGTAAAATGAGCCAAATCTGCACTCTGTTAATTCTTCAAAGTCTGGCAGTCGGATTCCTTTGCATCCTTGCACTACCTCAAGATGATTACACACAGCCCTAAAACCAGGTGGTAAAAGAAGAACCCCCCTAGCACAGTGGGGGGTGTGGTCTAAGGACAAATCACAGAACTGTATGTCAGGAGTGTGTTTCCCTTAACCAATCTCTTCTACTGATGAAATGATATTCCACTCACCATAAAATAAAAAGCTGCCTTGAAGCGAAGGGGAAGGTGGACAGGCAGCCTTTGCTTGTTTTGGTGGTGACAGTATAGGACAAGAAGGCGAGAGTGCCATCACAATTAAGTACTCTTGTGTGCAGAATCTGGCTTAATGGCTGATACGCAGCCTTGCTGCAGCACCAGCTGGTGGAACCAACTCTTCCTCTCCAAACTGCCTCCCTGAGCCACTGCCCCATGGCTGAGGCTAAGTGACACTAAGTGACATGTGGCTAACCACTAAGTGACATGTGTGTGTCTGAGTGTTGTCATCCTTTCTATTATAGGGAAATAGAGTTGAGCAAACCAAGAAAGCAAGAGTCCCAATTTTCTCTAAAATAAAGCAGTTCCAAAAATAGATATTTTCTTTAGTTCAAAGGGTAGAGACATTGAAAATTAGTCCAAGACTACCCTGCAAGTCCTGTTTCTTTCTTTCTTTTTTTTTTTTTTTTTGGGAAGAGTCTCTTTGTTGTCAGGCTAGAGTGAGTGCCGTGGCGTCAGCCTAGCTCACAGCAACCTCAAACTCCTGGGCTCAAGCGATCCTCCTGCCTCAGCCTCCCAAGTAGCTGGGACTACAGGCATGTGCCACCATGCCGGCTAATTTTTCTATATATATTAGTTGGCCAATAATTTCTTTCTATTTATAGTAGAGATCGGGTCTCGCTCTTGCTCAGGCTGTTTTGAACTCCTGACCTTGAGCAATCCGCCCGCCTCGGCCTCCCAAGAGCTAGGATTACAGGCGTGAGCCACAGCGCCCGGCCTGCAAGTCCTGTTTCTGCTGCCGCTTCTGTGCAGCTGTCAACAGCTGTGAGTGCTATGGCTGGTCTGGACAACTGGTGATGGTTGTGAGGAACCTTTAGAAGACCAGGCACTTGGAAGTTCAAAGGACTTAGCCTAAGTCAATGTTTCTCAAAGAGTATTTCCTTGGAGCAATATTAGCAGAATCACCTGTAAACTTGTGAGATATGCAAATCTTACCCCCGGTTCAGAATATTAGATTATCTGGGGTGGGGAGAGGACCCAGATGTCAGTGTTTAACTAGCTTTCCAGCTGGCTGACATACACTAAGTGTTATAACCACCGTCCTGGGTTACTCTCCAAACCTCCCAATTCTCTGCCCAGCCTTCTTGAATTCAGGTGTTTCACTACTCCCTTCTTTAAGGAAATGGACCACTTGTAAGGGGAGTGAGTGTGAACTTTAATTTTTTTGTAAGAATGAAACAAGCTAACTTTAAGGAGAAGACACTTGTGCCCTGCCTGGTTTGGTGTAGTGAAACTAGACCTGGGTTGTCCTTGTGTTATTAAGTTGCTATTTGATACTAAACAAGTTATTAGCCTTATTCTCCCTAGTTCTATATTCTTAAAATAATATTTCAGTAAAAATTATTTTGGCATCAAAGAACAGAAAAGTCAAATTACTGCCTATCTATCTAATTACTGTCAAAGTACTATCTCTTTTATCTTTTATCTCTTGCACTTTGATGAGTGCAAGAAAGTTCTTTCTGAAAAACTTGAACATTTGCAGAACAATGAGTGACTAATGAGAGTTCCTACAAAAAGGTCAGCCTAACCTAAGGTCAAATTATAAATTAAGGACTTAAAAGGTAGAGTCACTTATTATTTATTTAAAAAGAAGCTTGTAAGTGGGTAGTCATAATTGATTCCACTGTTTAGCGATATCTTCAAAAATATTTTTGCGGCCTGGCGCGGTGGCTCACACCTGTAATCCCAGCACTCTGGGAGGCCAAGGTGGGTGGATCGCTCAAGGTCAGGAGTTCAAAACCAGCCTGAGCAAGAGTGAGACCTCGTCTCTATTAAAAATAGAAATAAATTAATCAACCAACTAAAAATATATAGAAAAAATTAGCCGGGCATGGTGGCACATGCCTGTAGTCCCAGCTACTGGGAGGTTGAGGCAGAAGATCACTTGAGCCCAGGAGTTTGAGGTTGCTGTGAGCTAGACTGATGCCACGGCACTCTAGCCAGGGCAACACGGTGAGACTCTGTCTCAAAAAATATATATATATATTATTTTTGCTATTATTCATTCATCCGTTAATGATCATTTATTGATTGCTTTGCATTTATTCCATTTATTAGTATTATTTGTTATCAATAGTAGTATTTATTTTTCTGTGAAAATACAAAAATAAATCTGATCCATCACTGAGAGGACTGAGACATAAAAATACCTAGGCTTTATGAACATACCACTGAATCCTATAAAAATATTTATCCTTGTTCATACTTAGACCCATTTCAATTGCGTAAAATTGACAAGACACCATGTGGGCTGTGATCACCATCAAGCTCCATCAACACTTTTCTGAATGCTTTTTTTCTGACGCAGGTGACCGATCACACAGATGGGAGACATGTCGTCACCCAGTTCCATGAATGGCAGGCCGGAACTGGACTGATCCTTTCTCGAGCTCGGAAACTTCCTATCGCCACGATATTTACAACCCACGCCACACTACTCGGGAGGTATCTCTGTGCGGCAAACATTGATTTCTACAACCATCTTGACAAGGTGACTAGTCCTTCCTCCTCCCCTCTCCTCCACCCTTCTTTCAGATCGCTGAAGCGGAAGGGTAAGTATTGATCTTTGCATTTCATCTGCCAACCAGGTGGCAGCAATGCCCTTTCAGCTAGTCAATATTCATGACAAAGCTTCCCCTGGGGTGACAGACAGCTCATACAATTTAACTTTGTTCAGATAGCAGTATAGAGGTGAGAAGCCTGATTTCTGTCCTACTTTGGACCAGTAGATCCAAAAGGGTGTGTGGTAGGAGAAAGACACTGTGGACATAGGACTGGGCTCTTGTTCTACCCTGCAGCTTGAGAAATGCCATGAAAACCCTGGACCCACACACAGCTCTGAGTGGCAGGTAGAGAGCAGGGACTCAGGTGTACAAACTTGCATTGTGACCCATACTTTCTGTATCCTCCTGTATCCCAATTGATTGGGAACCACATTATATGTGAATAGGTCAGATTTTTCCTCTAACTCTGCAGTGCATAAATGGAGTTTTCTGTTTGGACAGAAATCATTGAAAACAAGGATGTAGGTCTTGATGACCGGTTTGCTCATTTTAGGAGACTACCTATTTCAAGACCCCCCCAAATCATTCAGTTTTGATCTCTTTCTCCTATTTCCTGTCAGTTAAATCAAATTAATAAAAGCATGTCTTTTATGTCATCATGCCAATAATATTAACAAAGCATTTGAGTACCATATTCAGGGGTTTTGCAGAATCGGTATCTATATTCAAATAGATTTAACATTTTAGGATTTACTTTCATCATCAGAAAATTGGGAAGTTGAAAAATTGATTTCTGAAGACTTTCCCAGTTTAAAAAGTTCTAGGATTCTATGCAACAGAATATGTGTGTGTGAGAGTCCATAAATAATATTCAGATAATGATCCTCAAAAGTTGCAGTACTCTTTTATCTTTTATCTCTTGCACTTTGATGAGTGCAAGAAAGTTCTTTCTGAAAAACTTGAACATTTGCAGAACAATGAGTGATCCTAATGGGAGCTTCCCTATAAAAAGGTCAGCCTAACCTTTTAAGGTTTAATCATAAGCATAAAGTGTACATGTAAAATAAAGACACCAAGGAATTCAAAGCCGGAAGGTCAGAGAAGTTTCCTGATGTTGTATGGTAATCGTAGACTAATAAGGGAAAACCAGTGATCTGTGATAAGCTCAACAACCATGTTGAGGAGGAACAGACTGATTTCCATCAAAGAGAAAATATTAGAATAGCATATGGAATAGTTCACTTCAGAATACTTAAGAATTTTTTATGGTAAGAATTAACTTAAAAAACCAATTAATATACATTGGATACTCTTACTTGTTCTTAAGGAACAAATGGATTTGCTTCGAGTCCCAGGGTTTGAGTTGCTGTGAGCTAGGCTGATGCTACAGCACTCACTCTAGCCTGGACAACAAAGCAAGACTCTGCCTCAAAAAAAAAAAAAGCAAGAACATTAGAAATGAGTCCTTGTAAAATGAGCCAAATCTGCACTCTCTTAACGCCTCAATGTCTGGCAGTCGGATTCCTTTGCATCTTTGTACTACCTCAAGATGATTACACACAGCCCCAAAACCAGGTGGTAAAAGAAGAACCCCCCTAGCACAGTGGGGGGGTGTGGTCTAAGGACAAATCACAGAATTGCATGTCAGGAGTGTGTTTCCCTTAACCAATCTCTTCTACTGATGAAATGATATTCCACTCACCATAAAATAAAAAGCTGCCTTGAAGCGAAGGGGAAGGTGGACAGGCAGCCCTTTTGCTTTGTTTTGGTGGTGACAGTATAGGACAAGAAGGGCGAGAGTGCCATCACAATTAATGTACTCTTGTGTGTGCAGAATCTGGCTTAATGGCTGATACGCAGCCTTGCTGCAGCACCAGCTGGTGGAACCAACTCTTCCTCTCCAAACTGCCTCCGTGAGCCACTGCCCCATGGCTGAGGCTAAGTGACACTAAGTGACATGTGGCTAACCACTAAGTGACATGTGTGTGTCTGAGTGTTGTCATCCTTTCTATTATAGGGAAATAGAGTTGAGCAAACCAAGAAAGCAAGAGTCCCAATTTTCTCTAAAATAAAGCAGTTCCAAAAATAGATATTTTCTTTAGTTCAAAGGGTAGAGACATTGAAAATTAGTCCAAGACTACCCTGCAAGTCCTGTTTCTTTCTTTCTTTTTTTTTTTTTTTTTGAGGAAGAGTCTTGCTTTGTTGTCAGGCTAGAGTGAGTGCCGTGGCGTCAGCCTAGCTCACAGCAACCTCAAACTCCTGGGCTCAAGCATCCTCCTGCCTCAGCCTCCCAGTAGCTGGGACTACAGGCATGTGCCACATGCCGGCTAATTTTTTCTATATATATTAGTTGGCCAATAATTTCTTTCTATTTATAGTAGAGATGGGGTCTCGCTCTTGCTCAGGCTGGTTTTGAACTCCTGACCTTGAGCAATCTGCCCGCCTCGGCTCCCAAGCTAGGATTACAGGCGTGAGCCACAGCGCCCGGCTGCAAGTCCTGTTTCTGCTGCCGCTTCTGTGCAGCTGTCAACAGCTGTGAGTGCTATGGCTGGTCTGGACAACTGGTGATGGTTGTGAGGAACCTTTAGAAGACCAGGCACTTGGAAGTTCAAAGGACTTAGCCTAAGTCAATGTTTCTCAAAGAGTATTTCCTTGGAGCAATATTAGCAGAATCACCTGTAAACTTGTGAGATATGCAAATTCTTACCCCTGGTTCAGAATATTAGATTATCTGGGGTGGGGAGAGGACCCGGATGTCAGTGTTTAACTAGCTTTCCAGCTGGCTGACATACACTAAGTGTTATAACCACCGTCCTGGGTTAGCTCTCCAAACCTCCCAATTCTCTGCCAGCTTCTTGATTCAGGTGTTTCACTACTCCCTTCTTTAAGGAAATGGACCACTTGTAAGGGGAGTGAGTGTGAACTTTAATTTTTTTGTAAGAATGAAACAAGCTAACTTTAAGGAGAAGACACTTGTGCCCGCCTGGTTTGGTGTAGTGAAACTAGACCTGGGTTGTCCTTGTGTTATTAAGTTGCTATTTGATACTAAACAAGTTATTAGCCTTATTCTCCCTAGTTCTATATTCTTAAATAATATTTCAGTAAATTATTTTGGCATCAAAGAACAGAAAACTCAAATTACTGCCTATCTATCTAATTACTGTCAAAGTACTATCTCTTTTATCTTTTATCTCTTGCACTTTGATGAGTGCAAGAAATTCTTTGTGAAAAACTTGAACATTTGCAGAACAATGAGTGATCCTAATGAGAGCTTCCCTACAAAAAGGTCAGCCTAACCTAAGGTCAAATTATAAATTAGACGGACTTAAAAGGTAGAGTCACTTATTATTTATTTAAAAAGAAGCTTGTAAGTGGGTAGTCATAATTGATTCCACTGTTTAGCGATATCTTCAAAATATTTTTGGGCCTGCGCGGTGGCTCACACCTGTAATCCCAGCACTCTGGGAGGCCAAGGTGGGTGGATCGCTCAAGGTCAGGAGTTCAAAACCAGCCTGAGCAAGAGTGAGACCTCGTCTCTATTAAAAATAGAAATAAATTAATCGACCAACTAAAATATATAGAAAAATTAGCCGGGCATGGTGGCACATGCCTGTAGTCCAGCTACCTGGGAGGTTGAGGCAGAAGATCACTTGAGCCCAGGAGTTTGAGGTTGCTGTGAGCTAGACTGATGCCACGGCACTCTAGCCAGGGCAACACGGTGAGACTCTGTCTCAAAAAATTGCCTGTAGTCCCAGCTACTCGGGAGGCTGAGGCAGAAGGACTGCTTGAGCCCAGGAGTTTGAGGTTGCTGTGAGCTAGGCTGACGCCATGGCACTCTAGCCCATCTCAAAAAAAAAACGAGACTCTGTCTCAAAAAAAAAAAAAAAAAAAAAAAGAAGTATGAACAGTGGAACTAGGAGGGAGTGATGAAAACAAGACAGAATTCTCCCTGACAGCCCAGATCCAACACAGGCTCTCTCTGTGTGACCAGGGCCAACCCTGGAGACCTGATCAGCCTTTTCCCATGAGGAGAGCATGTGAGGACAACCTGGGCAGAAATTACAGAAAAACAGAGATTACACAATCTAGATATGTTGCTTTAAAATGACCCAATTTAGCAAAGAGCAAGACTTTGGAGATTCTAATGAATGGATGCATGTGCATTCCAGCCTCAGGCTCAAACAGCAGATACGATGTGTTGTCACTACTCTTTTCCATGTAGCTTTGAATTCTACATACACTTTATATCTTCCCAGCTCAGTTACAGTTTCTGTTCTTGCAATACTTAATATTAGTACATGGCTGTGTGTTCTTTTTATGACAGGTACATTTTGGAAGATGGCTGATTGAGGGGAGTCCTTACGTGGTGCTCTTTGACATAGGCTATTCGGCTTGGAACCTGGACAGGTGGAAGGGTGACCTCTGGGAAGCATGCGGTGTCGGCATTCCTTACCATGACCGAGAAGCCAATGACATGCTGATATTTGGATCTTTAACTGCCTGGTTCTTAAAAGAGGTACAGTTTACTGCATGGTGACACAACAGAGGAGCAGCACAACTGGCTCAGTGCACAGCAATGATCCCATGATTTTTGGATCAAGCAAATTTTTTGAGATGATGCCGTTATTGCTTGTCCTAATACATTTCAAAGGAATCTGAGGGCGTGTTCCACACTCCTCCCACACTAAAAACCAGCCTTTGGAACAGAGTAATAATGATTCGTATTACTGTTTAGCTCATGACAGATTTAAATGGAATGATGTATGTAAAACACTGAATTATATCACCTGCTATGTGGATGATACTCAATATATACGCAAGAAAAAAAAAAGAGATTGCTTATAATACATCATGTACTGTGTAAGTGAATTCTAAAATGTTAAGAGTAGCAAACAGCTTGAAATATTCTGTTTATGCATAAGTACTTGTGCAGCTAGAGTGGCTTTGAGATATGTGTGTTATTTGCTAAGAGCTGAAGTGGTCGTGG